GAACCAGTTAAAAATTGATTTTTTTTAGAAGTCTTTCATGGCAAAAGCTGGACAGACTTTTACTGAGTCTGGTCTCTGAGAAGCTGTTGCATTATCCACGGTCATGGGACCATGCCACAATGACGATAGCTGCCACTTCTCCTTTGACATTGACATTTTTCCTTAGCCTGTCCTAATACCACCACAAATGGAATACTGAAAGGCTTTTTAGTCAGACCTGCCCTTGAATAATTCCTCTGAATAATTCAATTTATTCCAATTTTCAGGCCGCTATGGAAGCGTTTTCAAATGAAGGGAGGGGGAAGAAGTCAGCCTAAACCTGATAAAGGAGGACTTTGTTCTGAAGCTTTAGGATATGGTACCAAGCAGAGCTGGCTATACAATTTAATGAGTTTATCTGGCTTTTAGCTGCACGTGATGTGGGGTAGCTGCCACTGCAGCACCCCACCACCACCTCCTGTTCAGAGGAGCCTGGGTGCTCCTCAGCTTTGGGTTTGCTGCTTCTCAGCTTGGGTTTGCTGCTCTTTAGCTTAATTTCCCATGCATCACGGCAGCCTTTTCAGACATGACTTTGCATCTGCCTTTATTTAAGTCTTGACCAACCCTCCCTGGGATGGGCTCAGTCCACAGGGGGTGCTGAGTACATGGGGCTAAGCCATTGGGAGCATGTCGGGCTTTGAGTGAGCAAGGGGATGATGCAAATTGCTTTTTAAGGGCACAAAATGAAACAGCTGCTACATTTTCAGCACAGATGTGCTGCGGGGGGCATGCATTAGCTCCACAGAGGGAGGGTTACCCCCGTCTGCTTTCCCACAGTGTCTGCATGGGCAGGGCCGCCAGGTTCCTTGGGCTCCCAAGCCACCGAAAAAGGGAGCCGTGTGGGGCTGGGAAAGGCTTTGAAGATGACACAAGTCAAGAAATTACTTATTCCTTGGAGGAGTGGTGCAAATGAGATGGAGGCCAATTACCTTTGGCTGCCCCATCTCTCCTCTGAGGAACATCAGGGGAAGATGGCCCTCAGCAGTGCATCCACATCCCCGTCCCCTCCAGCAGCTGCTCTGTCCTGGCCGCGCGCTGTGAGTGGGAGAAGCCGCGGGAAGCAAGGGAAGACACTTCCTGTGGTGGCGGATCTGAGGTCACCTCCTGGCCCTTGATCCCTCCAGCCTGGGGTATTTGGGTCAGTGGAGGAGCACGACTGGGAACAACGTCCCTTCCTTCTCTCTCCCTGGAGATTCATTTTTAAAGGAACAAATAGGCTCAGCTGCAAGTGTGACGCAGTAGGATTTTTTTAATGTTTTTGGAAACAATGAGATAAATACCAGGGGGAAGGAATGGGAGTTGGATTTGCATCTCAGAGTGGTGACATTTTCCCCTGTTCCTCACCTTCCTATGCCCACCTTGCTCTGCTCTGCTGTGTCCAGAAACCTTTTCCTGCTCAGGAAAATACCTCTAATGAAGGAGCTCTTGATCCTTTTGGGGTGCCCTTGCTGAAAACAAAGCTGATCTGGTGTCTGACATGTGGTTCTCACCTAGACCATCCCCAGGGGCCCTGCCCACCTCTTGCTGCCATGGACACGTGGACATGGTTCTCACAGCCCTCTCTGGCCACCTCAGCATTGCCAGCCCCACTGCGAGTCCTGACCCCCATCGTCCTCTGCCACAGGGTCCAAGCAGCATTATCACCTGCTGACAGGAGGAAGACCTAGTCACCAAGGCAAGCCTGGTCCCATCATGGGCACAGCTTGATGGTGTTGGGCTGGTGGGCAAATGGGTCCCCTCCCCAGTTTTAACTCTGTCTTGAGTGGTGCCGAGGAGGATGACTCAGCTTGGCCATGTTACCCACATCTCCTGCACCACTGCATCACTGTGCTCCTCACAGATCTTTGACCCCTGCCCATGCTGAAGGCCACATTGCTTTGGACCTGCCATGGGCCAACAGTTTGGCCATCTTTAAGTCAAGGTGAGAAGGAGCAATTTGCAGAGCTTTAGCTGGAGTGTTATCCTGTGGGAGGGCTGCTGGTGGAATGTTCTCCTTGGTCAATCTTTCTTCTCCAGCAAAGGGGCACCAACCCCATGCTGGGCTCTTACTATGCCTCAGAGCATCCCCAGGACCACCAGGAAGGTGCCATCAGCTCTCAAGGAGGTGGCCTGGGCTTAGGTGGCAGCTTGGGCTGCTGCTGTCCTCCCAACCCACTGCCATCCCTGACAGAGCACATAGCGAGGGATGGAGTGCATCCACCTGGGGGGGACACAGCTCCCCAGCTCTGTTTCTTGGCCATTGCCAGCCCCATTACCCCCTGGCAGCTCCAAAACCAGCCCCTTCAACTGATGCTCCCAGGAGATGATTGGACTCACGGCTCCTTGACTCTCAATCAAGTCTTTAACCTGACTCCCATCCAAGTCCTGCACTGCTCTTGAGCACCTTCCAGCCCTATCCTCTGCTGGATTCGCTCCATCCTTTCTTTTAGGACTTGCTTGATCACACCGCACTGCTTGATAAGGCTTTGTGCCTCTTGTGGGGGCTTGTCTTTGTGTGTTTCAATACCTCGCCCAGGTTATCAGACACAGAGGGTTGCAAGGTGTGGCCAGGTGAGGAATTAACCATCTCATCCAAACCATGTGGAAATCAGAAGTAAAGATTCCCTTTTTCCTGTGGGCTTTAAATCAAGTCGTAACTTCTCTAGCATTGGAGGAGCTGACGGAGGGAAGCCCTGATTCAGGCTGGTTAAACCCCATCTGGTTTCCACCGGAGGAACAGCTGCCCCTGCCCTTCATGGCAAGGAGACACTTCAATTCAACTTCAACCTCACATTACACAGATTGCTAAAAATCAACCCTTCATCCCCTAGAGCAGATCTAGGGACTCTGGTTCTGTGTCCAGAGGGGCAGATTTGGGGCTGCTCTTCACATGAACCCCATTTTTGATCCCAACCCATGGTGCTTTCCTCCAGCCTTGCCCTGACCCAGGTGAAAAGAGATCATGGCCATCACACCAGGGAAAACAACGGGGAAATGGTGCAGCCCGCTCTCTTGGGGTTGTTTTCATGGGAATCACGCTGGGAGCAGAGCCGGGGCTGAGGCAGCTTTCTCCTGCCCCCAGATTTTGCCGAGGTTTCCTTCCAGCGCTGGAGCTTGCCCAGCTCTCCCAGCTTCCTGGGGCTTCGCTGAGAAGACAAAACCCGGCTCTGGAAGTGAAGCAATTGTTAGTACTAATTTTAACTTGATGTTCTTCCCCAAGCCTATTTTTATTCATTGCTTGTGGTAAGGCCTTTCTCTAAGGTAGAGCAATTTGCCATGGGACTCTTTTTTTTTGTGTGTGTGTGTGTTTACCGATTTTAATTGAGCAATATCTCCTTTTTTTTTTTTTTGTTTCACAAACCCAAAGCTGGAGGAGCTTTTAAGCACCAGTTGCTGAGCCTCTCACACTGGGTTTGCTTTGATCTCTGCAGGTGAGTTCACGTTTTTGGGGCCAGGGATTGATACTGCTTATTTGCATGTAAATCTCTGGGTTATTAAGATCCGAATCTGGCCCTTTAAATTTAATACTTTGCTTTATGCTTTTATTTCCGCATTTCTTAAAGTAATTTCCAAAAATAACAAACTTCAAACATGACGGGGCCATCTAACGTTTTTTACTGCCTTGGCTGGAGTAGAAGGAACATTTCTGGAAGTATATTATCCAATTTAACAAGCCTTTCCCATCTTGGCTTCACTCCCACCCCTCACCCCCTCTTGGAGTTGTTTTGGACGGCTTTTTGGAGCCATGCCACCTAATCCTATTAGCAGGACTTGCATTACACTGCGCCTTGTGTTTATAACCAGGAAAAATCAGCCAGAAGTGGGGTCCTTGCCCTTTTTGTGTTTTGCCGGGTGGTGAGACGAGAGCCCGGCAAATCCCATGAGGCTCCCGCATGGCCTCCACTTTCCTTTGGATTGCTTCACTCGGCATTTATTAAAGAAGACTTCGGTGTAAATTGGGTCCTTGCGAACTTGTAATTAATTTGGAAGGGTCAGTTCTTCCCAGGCCAAGTGTGGTCTTCTTTGTGTGGTCCTTTTTGAAAAGCAGAGGTTGGAGAGGCTGTTATGTAGTTGGGATTTGCTTTTAATAGGGACCTGACTATTTTCTGAAGATCTCACAGCTCTTGAAGGACAGGTTGTTATTGTGTGAGGCTGTGCTAAAAGGGTTTACAGGGCTTCTGCTTTGGGTACAAAAAAACCCCAAATGACCCAAACAAAGGAATAAAAAAAGCCAGGAGCACATGTCCTGGGGTCGGTGTGGGGCCGGTCACACTCGGCAGCTCAGAGTCAGTGTCTGGAGATGCTCTGGGAGGTCGGGTAGGGCTGGGGGCTCCTTGTCTGTCTGTCCTGCCCCACATCCTGCTGAGGGGACCTCTTGCTTCTGTTTGGAGCTGGGAGACTGATGTTTTTTCCCTGACCACATTGCTTTTCTTGAAAGTCTGCCTTGCCTCCCCAAAATTGTCACAGGATCCATTAAAGAGAGAAGATGGAGGGCAGGGAGGAGACGATAGGCTGAAATAATCTGTGAATAATAAAAATTCCTGAGAAAAGACAGAGACAGCCAGACAGTGGTTTACTCCAGAGGTGGGTTGGAAGGAGATGTGAGATTAGGGTCCCACTTGGGCATCACCCATGGACATGGCATCAGTAGATGTGTCATTACACCCACAGCAAGGGCCATTAGAGAAAAGCATTGAAAGCTCAGTGCCTTTGCTAGGATATGTCTGTACCCAGCCAAGGGGAATAACAGGTTCATATGGGCAAACAGGAAGACACTGCAGATCATGTCCCCACCGTGATGCTGGCAGGCAGCACAGGTGGTAACCGTAGTACTGATGAGCTGTGCCGTTAATTAATGGTGTGGTGGGGCTGCCTCTCTGCCGAGGCTACCTTCAAAGCTGGAGTTGGTCCCTGGTTGTTTCCCTTCTGGCACCCATTTGATGTCCTACCTTGACCACCACCTTTCTTCTCTCTCTCCCCAGCATGGGTCGGCTCCTTGGCCATGGGCATGATTTTTTTCTGCTCTCCCATCGTCAGCATCTTCACTGACCGGATCGGCTGCAGGACCACAGCAGCCTCGGGAGCTGCCATAGCCTTCATCGGACTCCTCTCCAGCTCCTTCACCAAGTAAGGCTGCAGAAGCCATTCTTGCAACCCTCCTGTCTCCCTACACATTGCTGCCTTTTGAGGCAAAGCTCAAAGCTTTGGTGGTTTCCAATCTGATGAGAGGTCTCCCGGCATCCCTACAGCCCATGTGCACTCAGCCTGTTTCTCTCCAAATTGAACCAAGTTGCTCTTTCGCCTTTACATAATAAGGAGTTAATTTTGCCTGAGTGAGGGACATGATTTTATGAGATTTCAGCCCTTCATTTGATCTTTAAAACAGACGGCAAGAAGTTGGCATGCCTCTTGCAGGCAGCTCCAAAGAGATGCTCGTGTATTCTCCTTGCCACCAATTTTACACGGAGTACTGAAAGTAAATTAATGCTTAAAATAATATTTGATGGCTTACACCTGGCAAGAGGGAGTTTCCATGCAGGGCAGCCAGGGTTTGGAGCAGTTTCTGCTGTTCCCGCACTGCTCTTCATTTTCCATGGCTGATCCCATGCCATGAGTTTCTGCTGGCCAGGGCTCATAAACCAGGTGTACCTGATTCAATGTGAGTGTCTTTCTGATCCAGGGCATTTGCATCTTTGTGGGAGCAAAAAGAGGTCACCTCTGGGGTCCTTTCTGCAGTCTCAAAGAAGATGCCCTCTAAAGAATTGCTTGTCCCAGCTTGTGTGAATCAAACATGGCTTTGGGTGGGCTGTTGGTTAAAATCAGTATTTTTTCAATTAAAATGCTTCAAGAAGAGGAGGGGTTTTTTAAAAACAAATAATATACATTAGCTTCCCAGAGGGCTGGTGCTGTGCTCCTCCCTGCCCACCCTGTCTGCACCAGGCAGTGGGATGGCAGCTCCCAATCCCAGTCCCCCATGAATATGTGCTGTGTGATGGGACCCCAGTCCCCAACTGTGGGACCCCCCCATTACCCTTGGGAGGCAGCTCCTGAGCCTCCTTGCAAAGCCCTAGGGACTGGGGCCAATTGCAGCCGTGGGACTGGGGGTGCCAAAACCATCTTGGGCAGTGGTGTGGAAGAAACCGCCCGCTCAGGCTTCCTCCACAGGTGCCACCCCTTTGTATTTCCAGAATAACCAGAGAAATGCAGTCGGCCCTGAGGGAAGGTGTGGCTGGGCTCATGGGATCTTGCTGTGTAATTGCACTTTCCTTCTAATCAACCAAGCTTGGACATTGTGAAATGTTCGTACAAAGAAAAAAGTGCTCTTGGGACCGTGTCACTGCCAGCAGCATGTTGTTTTGGGCTTAAAAAAACAAAAAATGAAACGGTGCAGGCAGAGAAATATATTATTTCCAGGAGAGCTCCAGAGCTGAAATCCCTGTTTCCTGCCTTCTCTGCTCTCAGTTTGCATTCCTTTGGCTGCCTTTTAAGGGAGAAAGGAGCCCCTTTACAGCTGGACCGTGGTGAGGGAAGCTGCCTCAGGTGCAGCTGAGCCGGAGCGGGAGGAAAAGCAGCAGGACTGCAGGATTTGGCTGCGTCCCAGCTGGACGGCAAAGGCCGGTCCCAAAACACAGAGCTGGCAGCTCCTGCTCACCCAGAACAATGGAGAAGGGATTGGGTTTTAATTTTTGTTGCCAGCACCCCCAGCCACAGCTGGAGATGACCCAGCACCATGTGCACTGATCCGAAGGGAGCTGCTGCTGGAAAGGGAGATGCAGACTGGGTTTGGTGGGCTCAGGATCAAGGCTAATCAACCCTTTATTCCCTGGTTTCTCTAAAATGGGTTTAGACAGAGGAGCAGTGGGTCTCAGCACTGGACCGAGATGATCCAAAAACCCACTCAGTCTGCACGGGAGGACCCCAGCTCAGTGCCTTCTGCTCTCAAAATATTGGGAATCTTGTATGAAAACCCCTAAATAATGCTGAAAAGCAGAGCTCTGGGAAAGGCTGAAGTTTTCTGAAGGAAGTGGAGGCAAGGGTTTTCATCCCTTTGCCACCTTGCACTGCTGTGGCTCCTGTGCTCGTAATCAGCTCAAGCTACCACAGATCTTAAGTGCCCTCAAGAAGAGAGAAGTCCCAGTTGTGTTAAGAATTCACTTTCCCTCCTGTGTAAGGGGGATTTTTTTAGTGTGAGGAATGGGAGATGGGGGCCAGTTCAGCGGAGCTGTCTTCATGTCCCCCTCAGTGCCCTCCCAGCCCTCCTCTTTTGCACCATTAAGCATCTTGTGGTGACGTTTGAGTCCCCTTTTCATCTGCACCTCCTTCCCCTCTGCAATTTCTGCTGTGGAGAGAAATCCCCAAACCTCTGCCAGTGGGGATATGAATCAGGGCTGTTCCCATTGTGAGGGGCAGCTGTTGGAGGGAGACCTTGTCCCAGGAGATGTCATTATCCATGGGAGATCTCATTATCCTGGGGAGATGATGCTGCCCGTCCAGCTAGAGAGCCAGCTGGCTGGTTCCCAGAAAGCAGGGTGGGAAATACTGGCTAAGAAGCAAGACTGAAAGGAGCCCCTGCTTTGCTACACTCATGCAGGGTTGTCAGCATCAACAGGGAGCAGATGGGAACCAGGGCATTCGTCTCCACTGATCCAATGTGTCAGCAGCACCAAAGCTGGCGTGACCCAGCCGAGATGGCCAGGGCTGGTGCGTGGGAGGTCGGAGACAGCCCAGCTGCTGGCCTGGCTCCTGCTGAGGGGGTTTCTGATGTGGCTTTGTTCTGGAGTCGCTGGGAATCGCCTTTCATGACAGTCATTTGACTTTGAGCTGTTGGGTACAGCAAGCATGTTCTGGTTGCTGCTTGGCCAGCTAAAGAGACTAGCATGTAATGGAAGAAATAAAGTACTTGTAAACATTCTCTCAGCTTCAGATGGCTCTATTAGATCTGGGCTGCTGTCTTCTCACTTGCTTCATGAGCAGCACTTGCTATTTCACATGAGTTGTTCTGAGTGTTGGAGTGAAGATCCTGTTTGTGCAGCATCACTTGCCTGGTGAGATCCCCAAACGTTTCCATCATGCTCTCCTCCCATGCGGTATTTTGGGGCAGACTTTCAGCCAAATGTAGTGCATGGGGATGAAGGAAAAAAAATCCTTCATCTGGAGAGAAACACAAGGTGTTATTTGCATGGCCTAACTAGGCCCCTTTCTCAGCTGCTTCTGTTGGGAAAATTAGGCTGGCAATTGGGAAACAGCTCCTTGAAGGGCTCCCAGGACTTTCCACCTGTTCTGCAGAGCAGCCACTTCACTCCTCCTTGAGTGCAGTCACCAATGAAAGGTACAAATGAGATGTCTTAACCATCTAATTGAAGCTCCTGGAGGAGCTTAAAGAAGAACTTAATTAACCAGCCTGGAGCCTGGGTAGAAACGCAATGTTCCCTTCCTAAGTGCCTGATAACTAGCGGGGTTGGTGCCTTCTGCTTTCAAACATGGAGTGCAGAATGTTTTCAATTAGCCCTTTCAGTGGGGAAAAAAAGAATTTCTAGCTAAAAATAACCCACCCTACCTGTCTTAGAAAAATCTTGCTTGCAGTAATTCAAAAACCATTCAAGTTAGGTCAGCTTCCCAAGGAGGGCAGGTTGGCTGCTCCCTTCTCCTCTTTGCAGAAAGCACTCCCTGACTAGACTTTGTTTTCCTGAAGCTTTAACGTGGCAGCTGTGAAATGAGGATAATCCTTGCTTGGGCTACAGAATAAGCTCCTTGAGGTCAGCCCATCTGTTTAGCACCTGTGATGTGGGGGACTGGGTCTTGACTCCAGGTTTTGCAGGGCTGCAGAAGTGAAGGCTTCCTTCCCTCTGCATAACATAACCACCTCACTGTATTTTTTTTCCTGCTAGATCTCTGGAAGTTCGTTATTTCACATATGGGATCCTCTTTGGCTGCGGCAGCTCCTTCGCCTTCCAGCCCTCGTTGGTCATCCTTGGTCACTACTTCAAGCGCCGCCTTGGCTTGGCCAATGGCATCGTGGCTGGCGGCAGCTGCCTTATCTCGGTGCCGCTCCCCTTCTTCCTGAAGATGGTTGGGAAGGCCATTGGGCTGGCACATACTTTCCAAGTACTCAGTGCCTTAATGCTCATCCAGATATTCTTGGCCCTGACCTATCGGCCCATCTTGCTGCCTTCTTGTGACTCTCAGCACGATGGGCAGGACAAGCTGGGCAGCCGGACCACGCGGCAGCAGTGTTGGTCCCAGACACGCAAGTATTTCAGCTTGAGGGTTTTCCGCAGAAAGACCTATCGGATTTGGGCCTTTGGGATCGCTACAGCTGTCCTGGGATATCTCGTACCTTACATGAACCTGGTGAGAGCCTTGGCTGGGACTGGAAAGGGAGGGAGGTCCCTTTGCCCAGAGTGCAAGTGAGGAGGCGATGGCAAGGGGGAGATGGGCAGTAGGGCCAGAGCCACCAAAAGCCCCAAAGCTCAGAGACTGTAAATAAGAGTAATGATGGGAGAAGACACATGTTTTTTTCTAAATTCTGCTGTCTCCTCTGTGCCAGGGTGGGCAGAATGGTCGCTTCCTGCAGCTCCCAAGCATCAGTAGCAGGAGAGGAGGGGGCTGTTGGGTTTGGGGTGGGTAGAGGTGGTGTGTGCAGGTCAGTGTGGTGTGGACACAAGGGTCACGCAACCACCCCGAAAGCCACAAGCCCTCTGCAGAAAGTATAGTCCTGTTTTGGGATATGAGAGGGATTAACTTACTGAGGATTCATGTCTTTGCATCTTTCCCTTCATCCCAGGTAAAATATGTGGAGAAGCGATTTCAAGAAACCAAAAAGGACTGGATCCTTCTGGTTTGCCTCGGAGCCATGTCAGGGCTGGGGCGCTTGGTTGCAGGCCGCATTGGCGACTGTATCCCCGGGCTGAAGAAGATTTACCTGCAGGTACGTTGTGTCTGACCCTCTACGTAGCTGCTGGGTCACCCCTGCAGGTTAGGGGATGGTGTCTCTGCATCAGTAGTGACACCAATAACTGTCAACCACAGATCACAACTTCTTTTCCTACCATTATCCAACACTTGTCTGCTGTTAGGGAAGAAAATTTATTGTAGAAAGTTGTACAGAGAAGTGGCCTGAGGTCTCAGTGTCCGTTCAGCAATCCAACCCTGTGGCCCCAGGTCTTCCCAAACTGCTGGATGCCCTCTCACCATCTTGTGGTTTTTGAAAAACAGACTGCTGAAATCTAGCAGCTAATCCAGGAGATATAATCCTTCCTAAAGCTTCTTAAAAGGTTATTCTCAAGGGCCTCTGTGAGATGGATGGCATTGCTGGGTCCAGAGGAGGGGGCGATGTCATTGACCTATTCAGTGTCATCTTCATGACAACTCCTGCTGCCCATCCCCACTCATCCTGCACCCCAGTAACATACCCACTTTTGTCTTCTTAGGTTGCGTCCTTCGTGCTGTTGGGCATCCTGTGCATGATGATCCCCCAGTGCCGAGGGTTTGAAGGCGTCATTGTCATCTGCCTCTTCCTTGGCCTTTGCGATGGCTTCTTCACCACCATCATGGCCCCCATCGCCTTTGAGCTGGTGGGGCCCATGCAGGCATCCCAGGCCATAGGGTACCTCATGGGGCTGATGGCTGTGCCCATGACCGCGGGTACGCCGATAGCAGGTTGGTAGCACGGCAGTGACGGACCTGGACCCAGCTTTTGTGGGGGAGCAGATGTTTGAGGTAGCTTTCACCCGTGGTGAGAGAAGATGTACGGTTTTGCATTTTGTGGCTTGTCATGTCACATGGGAGTTGAGGTATGAGTGTAGCATCACTCCATGCTGTGTTCTGGAGCATCTCAGGGCCTTTCTCTGGGCTGATGAAAGGTGACCAGTGGGGGAACAGCGAGAGCGAACCAAGATCATAGGCTTCTGTTTGAAGCTGAGCTAAAAATTGGCAGATATTAGTTTTCTAGAAGTCCTTGTAGATGTCTGGGGACTGATGGCTAACCAATGAGTTCAGCCTGGATTGTTGAATCAAAGTTAGAGATGGAGACACTCGAGCCTCATACCAAGACTTGGGTTTGTGTTTCAGCACAGTAATAACCACAATGTCCTTAACAGCGAGCGCTTTGCCAAAGCTGGCCCTCAAACAGCAGAACGTCTGCATCAGCAATCGCTAAGCTAAAGCTGCATAAGCACCTCTGATCTCTTTGCTTTTGGCAGCAAAATTCAGTCTAACGCCCTCGTGATGGAACGTGGGGTTGCGTCGGGCTCGCTAGGCACAGGGCCTGGTGAAGGGGCTCATTTCATGGCCTTAATCCCCCGGCAAGTGCCTACGCAGGAGGAAACTCGGAGGGATTTTCCAGTGCCGATAAATGGCAATGGATTATTCTCCAAGGATGCCTGGCTGTGTCAGGACTTGCCAAAATAACAGCTTGCACTTGTGGTTGTTTAGGATGTGTTTGATTGTGTTCTCTTCTGGTGAAACAGGGAAGAATGGCTGAGGCTTTCCTTGGCTTCCTTGCTGCACAACGCTGGCTGTGCACATCCTTTAATCCAGGGCATAAAAACTCCAAGGAATGCAATGAAAAAAATAGAATTGGTTTAAAAACCCCAAATCTGGTGGTTGAAGCAGGCTGCAGCTCTCACTGGAGAGAGGAGACAAGTCGGTCGTTACTTTGACGTGGCCGTTGTGCTTCTCTTTCAGGATACCTCAACGATTATTTTGGGAATTACGACGTGGCCTTTTATTTTGCTGGCGTCCCCCCCATCATCGGCGGCTTGGTGCTCTCCGTTGTCCCACTGGTCCATCAGAAGATGCTGAAGAAGCAGCGCCTGGATTCGGGCAAAGACAAGATGCTGGTGTCAGAGGCGGTGGTGAACGGGGAGCTGCTGCCGGGCTGCCCTGCCTCTGAAGCACACATGTAGCCCTCTGCTCGCCGGCACTCACTGTCACCACCAGCAGTCTCTCCGTAGCCCAAGCACAGGCCCTTTTCTAGACGGACCGTAATTCTCAATGATCGCAGATGCACTACATTTGTAAAGGAAAAACAAAACCCAACACAAAAAGTTCTTCTAGTTAAAGGCGTTTAACTAGCAGAAATGCTCATTTTCGGGACAGTTTTGATTTCAAAGCCACCCTTTTTTTGTTGTTGTTGTTTTTCTCTAACCATTTTTCTAAGGAGAACTCTCACCAGGATTCAAACTTGATTGATCTCTCTCCATACTTTTCTATATGTCATGACAGAGGTTTACAGCTAATAAATGCCTTTCCAAAGCAGGCCATGGATGGAGCTTGTTGAACCTTGCAGCTGCCTGTCCTTCTCCTCCAGTGTCACCCGGGTGTCCCATCTGAGCGAGGCGGCCCCTGCCCCGTCCAGCACCAGAGGCTGTTTTGGAGCCAGCCAGCAGACCCAAAGGAGGAAACGCCGCTTTAGTCCGACGCACAAAGCAAATAAATGGTTGGCGAGTCCCACTTTAATCTTCTCCTTTTCTGCTGCTCTCCCACCCACCCAGGGAGCTGCAGCTGGGACGATGGGGAGCTCAGCCAGCTCCGCTCCTGCTGCAATCACTACATGGAGCCACGTGGGAGCACCCCATTCCTGCAAAATATGCCTTAAAAATGCAGGGATGAGACCAGAAGGTCCATCAGCCGCTTTTCACCTCTGTTTTCTCACCCAGCAAGTAGTGATGGGGCTTTTGAGGTGCACGAGAAAGGGGCAAACTGTGGGCAAGCTGCCAAGATGGGCGCTTCGGAGGCATCCACAGTGGAGCCCCATGTGCTGTGGGTCTGCTCTGCGTTGGGAAGCGTCTTCCCTGCTCCCAGGGATGCAGGGATGCAGCTGGCTCAGGGCACAGGGTTCCACCGCTCTTTTTTTGGGGGCCAGTTGTGTATTACACAGCAATAACCTCAAGTCAGTATTGGCAAGGGATGCCTGGTGTTTCTGAAGGGTTTAAAAGCCCTGGCAGTGTTTAACTCGTAGCCCATGTTACTGTGTAGAGCTGGGAGGAGAAGGAGCTCAAGAAAATCCCACGACCCGTGGGTACCTACCACACAAAGCTCAGCCTTCTGTCATTTCCAGGCATCACTAATGATCATGGCATGGAGCAAGGGAAATCTTCCTGCTCAGGTGGGTCCCCGTGCAAAGGAGGTGCTGGCTGGGACCGGGGTACCTTTTCCTGGGAGTAACAACCCAGGAGAGAGAGCAAGAAATAAAGTTCACATTTATCCTGGCTGCAAAAACATCATTCATTGAGTTTTTAATTTATATTCACCTGGCATTAAGAAATGAGAAGCCTATAGAGGAAACACGTGCTGTGGGAATCACCTCCTGGTCCCCAGGCGAGTGCAGTAACACCAAGACACATCTTTGCCATGGAAACTTGGTTTCAGTGGAGTTTCCCCCTCTTGTGGGCAGTGGCGAGACCTTTGTACATAGGCTCAGGGTCCTGCATGTCCCTCTGGCCCCGTTTTTAATCCGTGTTGGCTAACTGCATTGTAAGGTCTTGTGGTCCTGTGGCCCTTCTGTCCCTGTATGAGCTGGAAAATTAACTGGTGTGTTGTGATGTGTCCATTTATGACTATAAAACGAGATGTCCATTTGTCTCTTTAGTATGTTTTTCTGTGACCCTTCTTACCTTTCCTTGCCTGTATTGCATCGTCTGCTATGGCTCTGCTGACCCAGTCCTTGGTTTAGGAAGCTGTAGGAGGCTGCAGGAGTCATGCCTTGAATCCTGTGTTCAGTTTTGGGCCCCTCGCTCCCAGAAGGACACTGAGGGGCTGGAGTGTGGCCAGAGAAGGGCAATGGAGCTGGGGAGAGGCCTAGAGTGCAAGTGTTACAAGGAGCATTGAGGGACCTGGGGGTGTTCAATCTGGAGATGAGGATCACTCTCTACAGCTACATGAAAGGAGGGGGTAGCAAGGTGGGTGTTGCTGTCTTCTCCCAAGTAACAAGTGATAGGAGAGGAAATGGCCTCAAGTTGTGGCCGGGGAGGGTTAGATTGGATACTGGGAAAAATTTCTTTACTGAAAGAGTGATCAAGTGTTGGAATGGGCTGCCCAGGGCAGTGGTGGAGTCACCATCTCTGGAGATGTTCAAAAACTGTGTAAATGTGGCACTCTGGTATATGGTTTAGTGGGCATGGTGGGGTTGAGTTGATGGTTGGACTTGATGATCTTAGAGGGCTTTTCCAACCTTAACAATCTAATGATTCTACACCATTGTGGCATTGTGGGGAGCCAAAATATGGTGCCCTTGCTCTGGCACCAGTGGGATCTGCTAGGCCTAGCCTAGGGCAGAGCATTAACATGATGGTTTTCATGCAGGAGCATTGGCAGTGGGGCATCTTCAGAGCTGTCTGGCAGAGCAAGGAAAGAAATGTGTTGCATTATAACTCCTCTGAGTTTTGGAGCTTTTATTCACATTGGAGTTCAATGAAGTTCTTTAAATTCTATTTTTTTTTGACCTTAATGTCCTTTGAAGGAGAGCTTATGAGGGATTTAAATTCAAGAAGTAGCTGCTTCAGACCAGGAAGAAGACGAGCAGAGCTGCCTCAAACTCACGCGTGGCCCGAGCAAGTGGCTGCCCAGCCGAGCCCACTGATGACTGCATGAGACTTTGCGGTGAAACCTCTCTGGCTTGTAAGGCAATTTATGGCTCAAATCCCAAATTTGTACAGCTTTCCACTTGCCTTAAACACTCCACCTGCCTGCAATTGGGAGGAGGAGCCTGCATTCAGTGCAGTGGGTGCCTAAGGCATCAAACCAGCTCTCTGTCTTCCCAGGAGGGGCGGTGGTACCAATGTTCATCTCCCCTAAATTCTGATCTCTTATTGTCAACCCCTTAGGAGATTTTTGAGTGGCAAGGTGTGTTCATGGGTCGTCCGAGTTTGGCTGAAGGAATCCACCCCTCCTCCTGGTACTGGATGTGGCACTTCAGAACATGGTTGATTGGACATGGTGGTGTTAGGTTGATGATTGGACTTGATGATCTTGGACATCTCTTCCAACCTTAATGATTCTGTGATCCTGTCCCAGACTGATGTCTGGTACTGACCTCCCAAACCCACTCTCAGCATCTTTGATCAAGATCCTGCCCTGGGTTAAGACAAGGGTAAATTCGGCGTGTTTTGAGCAGTGGCAATGAAAGGTTTGCCTCATCTGCAAACAGACCTGGGAACAGGAAGGGCAAAGGTTGGAGGAGTCTGTCAACATGAAGGGGAGTATTTTTGGGTTTGTTAGCTAAACGTGCTCCTGCTGTGTGTCTAATTTGTCCCTTGAGCTTTGGGCAGCTTCCAAGAATTTTTCCAGGTTCATGGCATGTGAGAGGTGGGATTGTAGCAATCTGAGCGGCTATAACCAGGGAAAAATTACTTAGGTCTCTGAAACATCCTTTTAGCTTCTTGTAGTCTGGTGCTGTGAGGCCAAATAGGTCCCTACCTGTTGCAAAAAGCTTCATCCTAAAACACATCCTGGTCCAGCACATCCATGTCCTCCTCAAGGCTAGCGTTCACAGAGAAAACTACTTTTTACTTAATTTTCCGATTAAAAACCTCCTAATTTCTCCCTCCCCTGTGAGTGCCGGGCTGTGATTCCTGCCCTGTTCCCTTGCTCCAGGAGGGGCAGAGCTTTATGTAAGTGCTTGGCAAGCGCAGGACGTGTCCCAGCAGCGTCCTGCTCGGGGCTTGGCTGGGGCCGCCTTCCCAAATCTTTAGCTTGAGGGTGTTCAAAAAACAAGTTGTTGTCTTTGCTCCTTTACTTCTTGCTTTTTTTTTAATTGCAGAGTGGGGTGTGGGGTTTAACTCCTCTCGCTCTGGCTGAGAGTTGGAGCAGGAAGGCTGTAGGGGGTGGTTGTGTTTTCAGGCTTTCAGGGCCACCGTGATTCACAGCTTCAAGCTTTTTTGGGTTGTGAAACAAAGCTGGAACCATCTGCGGGAGTCGCTTCATCGCAGTGTGCACTGTCCTGAGCTCCTGCAGCCAGGGAAATGCACATTTCTAACTTAAACTTAACAAAGTCTGGCCACTCATTGGCTGGGGTTGAGGTTTCCTAACATTTCACCGCTGTGGGAGCTGTGGGAAGGCCACATCCTCATTGCCATCAAAGCTTTGAGGGCTTCTGGGCTGCTGTGGTACCACAGGATTTGAAGACCCCCCCAGTTTCAAGATGTTTTGGCTCTGCCTCCCACCCTTGTGGTGGTTTGGGGCTGCCAGTTTGGCCACACTGGCAGTCGAGGAGCTTTGTAACCCTCAGATCCTCTGGACGCAGAGGGAGACAGGTCCAGCTGAGCCCCTCACCATCCCCCCATCCTTCACTGCAGTCCAGTACCTGGCTTTTGCGTGTATCTGTGCCCAACACAGCTTTGATTGGGAGTTACCTTCGTTTTTTTAGCTTCAGTAATTTTCCTGCCAGCAGTGTTTGCCTCTCTTTATGCAGTTGGAAGCAGAAAGCCAGGATGACTTTGAAAGCCCCAGACGCTTTGGCAAGGTGAGTGAGGCTGCCCCCTCCTGCTGCCTTTTTGCCTTGAAAATCAGTGCTTGGGCAGCTTTTTGGGGTGTTTTTGTTTAAAAATCTCAGCTCATCATTGGGGACAATGATGTGATCAACAAGTGCTCCTCAAATATTCCTCCAATATCCTCTGCGTAACAGTGGCGGCCACGGAGCTGACACTGTGGAGAGGCTCCACTGACAAGGAATGAACCAAAAGAAAGCCAATTTCTTCTTTTTTTTTCTTTTTTTTTTTTTGTAAGGAAAGCAGGCATAGGGATGGATGGAGCTGCAATCCCCATGCAACTCTGAGTGGCCTTTGTGGCTGAGCCCTAGGGGTGATCATGGCCGGGGGGGGGTGACCATCACTTTGGGTGCTTTATCAGCTTGGCACGGTAGCTCCATGGACTTTATCCTGGTGACCACAAGGTTATTGCTGGGCTT